CACTGAATGCAATCCCTAGTTCTCCCTACCATTTAGCCTAAAAAACTGATGACCTTTTGCAGTGTAGCCAAAAAGCCTTACCCATGCATGTTGCATCCATTGTTGTGAGAATAGGTTTTGACTATCATGAATGCACAAATACAGACAGAATATAACACAGGCTGTCTACATTGTCCCATTAAAAGTATAGAAAATATTGTTCATTGGCATTCAATTTTTATCAAAATACCTAACCATAAACCACTAATTTAACAATATATATAGAAAAGAAACTTCAGCGCAATATGTACCTCCTTATGATTGTGCAGCTAGCATGTAATGAGTTCCCACATATGACAAACTAAATATTGAAAAATGTAGCACAGCAAATAAACAACACAGTGATGCTTCAATATCAAATGTGAACCTTGAACCTTTTGAATGTGCTCTAATAAACAGAGACAGTGAAAACACTCTCCAGTGCTTGTGAATACTTAATGATCAAACTACTTCAAGGGCATATATTCCAATGGATGGATATATATATATATTATTCTGTAATATCCACAGTGCTTGTGATACTTTTCCAACAAAAATCATGTGACTTTTTACAACATAAATCGTGATGAACAGTCCCATGTATTCCACACAATGATTTTGTGTGATCAGATGTAATACACCGCTATTATTCAATATGTTTGTTTTATTGTGCTCCCCACCTCCAACACACTTATGCACTCACCGCAAAGTTTGACCCATAATGACAGGTCAAACTGCACTTTTCCCTTTTAACCCTGGCAGGTATATATGGTACAAAGTCTTCCCACTCTTTTGCCAACTCTTTGCTAACACTTTGTATAGATCCAATCCACTCCGCAATTATGTAAAAAAATGCTGAATGGAGTGTAGTATGTACAACCAAAAATAGCCTTTATTAAAAAAATATATATCCACTCACATTAAAATGTGTGCTCCTGGGACACCACAGTGTTAGAAACTCACTGTACAGTGCTCCAGATTGTTTAGATGATGTAATCCCTCTTGAAAAATGGCGGTACGTAGGCAAATTAAAAAAATACTTTGTAAAATGAATCTTGTATAATTGGGCATACATGAACCTGCTTGATTGCACATGTTTTGCCTGTGTGCTCCCATCCATTGTTCAGGTAACCAAAACTGACATTTATACTGTATGTGTAACCTTCAATAGCTAGGGACTGTTTATATGTAGGCAATGTAAACCTATAGTATTTATTGGTACAAATGTATCTAAAGCTGGCCATAGATGGTTCAAACCTCTGCAAATTCAGAGCTGGTTTAGAGCAAGTAAAACCAGTCTGTTGGGTTTTAAATGCGATTATTGCTAGCGGCTATTATAGTCACTAGCAGTAATCACTGTGTTCTTCCAGCGGGAAAACCCCAGTAGAACACTGACTGTGTTGATGGGGAAATCAAGTGATTTTTATTTCTGCAACCCATGGTCTATGGCTGACTTTAGGCCTCATGCACACTGGGCCCCAGGCCGCAGCCAAACACCCAGTGTGCATTGCTGTTATAACCCTAAAAATGAATTTCTTGGTTGCTCCCTTTTTGGTATGAAATATAAACCATTGATAGTGTTTTGTTATATCTGTTGAATTTGTGCAAGAAATCTGATGCACTCTGCAGTACTGTCCTTATCTATCACCTCTGTGGACTACAGAACACCCCATCCTTTGCTTCATAGATGGGGAGAGGGAAGGTCTGTAGTTCTCTCCTAAGATGACAACGCTGCTCCTCCATTCATTGATGCAATATGGTGGGCAAGTGTTGATTCTCAGCCTAGAACAGGAAGAGTGTTACTGGCAGGATAACTAGGTGGAAATCTAGGAAAAAAATCCTAAAAAAAAAAATGAATGCATTCACCATGTCTATGGACTAGTTAGCTGAAATGTATTATATTTTTGTTCTTTGATATAGATATACTTTAACAGGCCTCTGGTATTTCTTCAATGAGCAAAGCGTTGCACATATGTATAGTCCCATAGTGGTTGTGGTGTGCTGTGACTGTGTATATTACATCCCACGCATGTTTCACAATATACCTTGAATACAGAACACGCCTATGGGCACATACCTTAAAATGCACCTATCAAACAGTTTTATTAAAAAATGTAATGTTTGGTGTGATGCTGTATCAGTGCTCAGGCTTCATGCACACTGGATGTTGAAATGCCACTTGACAGGAGTATTGGACTTTTTTTCTTCCTCTAAACACCCCACAGTGTTAGTCTATGTCAATGCACACATAGGAGTTTACAGGCGGGGTGTTTAACGGCAGAAAAAACCCCTCTGCCAGCACGTCCGGGAGCAGCAGCGTTTTGGCAGAAAAAACATACCTAAAATCACTTTGGCTTTGGCCGTGTTTTTGAAACTGCTTTTCTCCTGTATGAAAAGGAGTCTCCTGGCATTATATCTGATTGATAATTATCCGTTTCGCCACATGCGTGGTGCAGATGTCAGCAGTTGAGGCCTGAACTGACTGTTTTGATAGAAAGCTGAGGAACATGATGGTTATATGTTTGTGTTGCTTAACTTTTTGTCTTCACCCCGAATGAGGAAACTGATCGCATGATCATATGTTCAGCCCCTGAATTTGCTGACTTGCCAAAATATGTAAGAGAACAAACCAGCTAAATTAGTCTGGCTCCCTAGTTCAAGAAACTGACCTTTCTCTCCATTCACTCACTAAATAGTTCTAAGGTCAGAGGAGAATATTGCACAACAGCATATTTTAGCCTTAAATTTTTTGCTTACAATCTCCACCCTAAGCAAAGGAATGCTGCCACAACTTAGTCTGGGGCAATAGGAGGAGCAATATGTGATATATTGACTAGTTATGGTCATCTATGATATTTGATCATGTCAGATAAAAGGGCTTTACCCTAATGGGATGTAGTGCAGGTAATGGTACATTTATGTATTTTCATCATTTGCTTAGTTTGTATTGCTCAGGCAGGTTCCAAGTTTATGTTAACAATTGTTGAGATAAGTTCAGTTAGCATTTTGAACAGACTGTTGATTTTCAGTACGGTTAGATTTGAACCATAGACTTGAGCAGTGAAGCACAGTCGCGGTCTGAAACAAGATGCTAAACACATCCCTTGACTGGTGAATTCTAGAGGGAACATTTAAAATCATGAAAATATAAAGCAGCGAATAAATAACAGATCTAAAACTCTCTTTTTAAAAAAAAAAATACTTATAGTAGCTGTAAACTGTATCTTTCACTAACAGCAAAATCCTGTTTGGACTACCATGAACTGAAAATACTATCTTGTCCACAAATACCATCAAAATTATACACTTTTTAAAATATATTTTGATGGTATTTGTGGACAAAGTATTTTCAGTCTGTGGTAGTCCATGAAACAAGATTATTTTGTTAGTGTTGGATTTGTAGTTACTAGGGAACCAAGACCAAAGTTTTAAGGGTGGTTGAATGGCCATTTTTACATCCCAGTAGATCGCAGTGCTAATGCGCACTGGCGCACCCCCTGGGGCATGCAGCCACGCGATCCTGTGACCACTCTGTCTGGTAAACACAGTGGATCACTCTGTTTGGTAGACACAGTGGATCACAATGCTCCATACCCAGACACTGTAAGCTGCCAGGGTATCATGTGATTGCTGGTCAAAGCAATCACATCATAATAGGTAAGAAAAACTGTCATGAATGGCTTTCATTCATGACAGTGTGCATACTGTTGTGATGCTGTGCTTGGCTCACAGCTATCGCATGGTACCTGGGGCAATACCAGTACCTATACCATGTTATAGCTATGGGCCAATCACAGCACCACAATAGTAAACAATGAGTCATTAATGAAAGACATTTATGCCAGTTGAAACAATTGCTGTTAGCAATCACCAGTGTAACAAGTAATCACAGTATAGAAAAAAAAAAAATCTCTGATCACTCCCCACCCCAGAGTACTACAGTGTCACTATGGTGATACTGATCTATGCTGATGACAGAATGTAAAAAATAATTTTTTTTTTTTCTACAAACTGTAAACAGTCAGTATTCCACTGTCGCACCAGTCACATGATGACGCTATACTGCACTAATAACAGTATGCAAAAAAAAAAATTAAAAAAAAATCTACTTTTTTCATTTCTTCATTTTTCAAAAAATTGTGACAAAAAATTACAACTTTAAAAAACTTGCCATGCCTCTCACTAAATACCTTGGGCTGCCTGCTTCACAAAAAGGGGTCATTTGGTGTGTATTTGTGCTGTCCTGTCATTTTAGGGTTTTAAGAAATTGAATAGGCCATCAGTACATCAGGACTGATCAATTTTCAAATATATAAACCATAGTTTGTACACTCTTTCCTACAGACTAAACAATATACTCTGAATTGGGTTTTTATTGATCAAAGAAATGTACCCGATTTACATTTTGGCCAAAATGTATAAAGAATGTTTGTTTGCAAGCTATGGAAAAACATGTCAAAGTGTTTGGTATTTTTTCGTGTATATAAGAAAAAACAATAAACACAATGATGATTAAATACCACCAAAAGAAAGCTCTATATATGTGGAAAAAAAAGTATGGTATATAAATTTAATTTGGGTACTGTTTTGCATGACTGAGCAATTGCCAATTAAATTACCAGAGTACTAAATAGCAAAAACATGGAGACCCCAAGTTGTTGTCAGGCCTGCCCAGTTCGTCCTTCTGGACTACAGAAACTCCTGCTTTCTTCATCTCCACAACACAAAGCTGGGGGGGGGGGGGTTCTGTGATCCAGCAGTGGAGAACTTTGCTAGGCTAACAGTGCTTGGAATTTCAGTACAACAGAGGTATTGCACTTCTTAAGATGCAAAACATGGGGAAAGGTGCATATATTGCAGAGATATGGTGAGTGTATTGTTTCTTTTTTGTTAATTTTGCTCAGACATACACTTTAAATGAGGAGTACATATGAAAATTTTCTACATATCGATCAATAATGAACCCATTTTATGCTTTTCAGGTTATGGATACACCACCCCCCTGACCGACTCTGGGAAAGCCTTCTGTATCTTCTATGCTCTTGTTGGCGTCCCTTTCACCATGCTGGTCCTTAGTGCTGCTGTCCAGCGTCTCATGGCTACCTTCACCTACAGCCCTATTCGTTTCTTCCAGCTTTACAAAGGATTTGACCGGAAAAAAGTGACCGTGGTTCACCTAATTGTCTTAAGTGTGTTGGTTTTGATTCTGTTTCTTATTGTTCCTGCGGCCATATTCAACGCCATAGAAAGTTCCTGGAGTTTCCTGGATGCCTTCTATTTCTGTTTTATTTCTTTGTGCACTATTGGCCTAGGAGACTACGTCCCGGGGGAACAGGACAACCAGTGGTTAAGACAACTCTACAAGGTGTCTGTGGCCTGTAAGTATAAGGAATCTAGGAAAGGGGGGTGGGGGGGGGGGGATGGGGATAGATTATTTTTGTGAATATGCACAACGCTCCCTATACAGCTTGTAAAATAATGAAAGTGTCAACTTTGCCAACCATCCATAAATGTATAGAAAAGTGGATCAGGCGTGCAATGTCAGGCTCCTGCAGACACTCCTGACAGTTGCCTACCCGTACTTCCATACTGGCAGACAGTTGCTGTCTTTAAAATGTGACAGATGGTACAGGGAGAGGATCCCCTACCTGCTATCACATTGGGGGATCCAGGGGTGATAATGGCATGTCATTAGTAACATGTTACACCCCAAATACAAGTGTAACATTTACCATGTTACTAATGGTGAACCTAGCCTTTAATGTGTATGGCTAGGTGAAAAAAGTGACAGATGAGCCGAGTTCAGTGGGATACTGAAAATTACAGTCACATGGCTGTAGATAAAGATCCTTATTCTAGCGTGAAGGGACCTTGCATGCTCTCATCATTTGCAGACTTGCTGTGACTTTTTTCCCCTGGACATTGGTAACATTTACATGTTATGACATATAGCAAAACAAAGACGACTTTTAATTGCTGTGTCTGTGATGAGCTGGATGCTGTCACAGCTAAGCGGCAGTCTTGGTTTCGTATTGGAGGATCACATGATGGAAAGGATTTGCTCATTTTGCTCTTCTTGCTTTTTGAATCGGCTGACTGCATTTCTATTCAGGTAGCTTCACTTTCCACTTGCAGTGGTTTTTAGACACTACTACCAAATATTATCTCTGGAAACCGGTGTGGATGTCCTATAAATAACCATTGTTTTATATTAATACAAATGCTGTGTCTGAGGACTTGTAGTTTTAGCTCAGTATATAAAGGGGACCACTGTCCACATTGCCAGTCTTCCCCAGAAGGCCTTTTTAGGGTTAAAGTATAACTGACGACAAAACGTTTTTTTTCTTTTAGTTCTGGATAGCGTGGATAGGGATTTGTACACCTGTCAGATTTCATTGCTGTCTGTGCCCGTTAGGGAAATGCACGTTCTCTTTTTTGTCCTTTTTACAGTTATCATTAAAATTGAAAGTAAAAGCAAATCACAAATTTTGGGTTGTCCCTAGAAAAATAATAGAGGGGAAATCTCCCAATGGGGATACTATTTTTACTATTTCTAGTGACCTGAGGGCCCTAAAGGATTTCCTTAATTTGAAAGGATTTCCTCTCACTTCCTGTTTTGGCTATTGGACAGGAAGTGAAGGTAAATCTCCATGATGGGATATAGATGGCAAAAAAAAAACCTGACCGGTTATAACCCTCCCTTACTCCATTCAAAATGAAAACAAAATGTTTTGCCTACAGTTCTATTTTAATGATAGTTTAAAGCAGCATTTCTCAACCCTTTTAACATTGAATAACCCATAAAATAACTTTCCCATGTCAGTGAACACCTGCTAATAATCGCTATATCTACAGCTCATGGTACATTAGAATGAAGGTCAGTGGGAAGAATGCGTCATACATATGTGGTCAGTGGGAAGAATTCTCTCTCACAGATAGATAGATAAATAACCATTGAGACCAATGATCTTTTTAGCTGAGAGGCAAGCATTGTTCATTGCTCAAGGAATCCCAATCAACCTCTGGTGGAATCTTAGTCAAGAGAGCCTGCTTTAAAGCTTATGTAAACTCAGTCACTAAAATGTAATTTAGGCTTTAACTTTTGAGCCCGGGGTTCATATATGTGCGGTGCGGTATATCGCATGTGATTCGCACAGGAACCGCACCACATTCCTGTGCCAATCGCATACGATTTGTATGCGGTGCGATTGGAGCCATACGTTTTGTATGGCTCTGATCGCACCGCACCCACACTAAAAATGTGCAGGACCCTTTTTTTGATCCGTACTAGAATCCGATCGCATTGGTATTCACACCTATGCGATCCGGTTCTGCACATCGCACTGTGTTTTGCAGACCGCTTTCAGGGTGTTGTTAACTTAACATACACACCTGCAGCGGTTTGCATGAACGGGGTGCGATTCTCATGTGGTGTGGAATTTGCACAGAAAACACTGCGAATTCTGCACCGCATCAGTGTGAAGCGGGGCTTAAAGTAATTTCAAAGGTAATTTTCTATACATCTAAATCTGCAGGTTTTATTAATTTAATACTTGGTGATTCTGCCATGAATGTCCTTTCATGTACTTCCTGTTAGGGTGATAGCACACCGTCCCTGTCTACCAATTGGCTTCTGTTTTGTCACCCTGCTACGCTACTATAAACACAATACAAAGGTATTGCTCACTGTTGTCACCATCAGGTAATTTGCCCAAAGAAATGACATGCAGCTGCTCACCCAGTGCATGCAGACAGGAAGTGGCTGAAGGAGGCATTTTATGCAACAAGGCATGAACAAAGGGATACATGTACTGTAAATGAACAATGCACACATTATTTATTAGGGTCTATGCACACTGAGCTTAAAAACACGGCTTCTACAGGAGTTTTTTGTTTTGTCTGTAGAAGCACCTAGATGTTATCCTATGAGTTCATGCCCATTAGGATGTTTAGAGGCATATTTTCAGCTCAGCATTTAGAGGCAGAAATGAAAAGTCTTCTACATTGCATTTTTGAGAGACGTTTTATGGTAGAAAAAATGCTAAATGCATCTAAACGCTAGTACAAAAATGCTCTATATGAATGTTTTTTTCTGCCAAGGGAACTGCCAATTTTCTAAGCCCAGTATGTAAGGATACTCGTACATTCAAAGTAAGTAGGAGGTAGGTGCTATAACCAGAATGGAGACCTCCTCAAACAAATCTCTAACACAATCAAATAGATCAGCACACCAAATATTGTTTTCCAATCACATGGTTGTTTATATATGGTTGGATTTGACTTGAGAAAGGAGACAAAACCTTGTCTCTTTTTGCCATCTTCACCTGGTGTGCCTCTACATACTTTGTGTATGGTAACTCTTTCTGAAACTTTTCTGTACTGGGATGTCACAATTTATCTATATAATGTTACCTATACTGCATACAAAATGAAAGCAGGCATAGTACTCAGGATTTATTGTGATCCCTTGTATTATGTGTATACGTATATTATACTTTTTCTGATGAATGTAAAATGAAATTTGAAAACAATTTCGTTGGTGTGCTGAATTATTTCATTTATTCTGAAAAAAGGAAAAACCTGTATTGTATAAAAGAAAAAAAAAAAATAATGGAATAAATATGTGTGTGGCAACTGCTTATGCTATCCATCCATCTACTTTGACCACATAAAATTTGCAGTGATTGGAATTGATAATCTTTTGTCTAGCATGTGCTTTGGTCATTTGAGAAGTCTAGAAAAAAACATATTCATGTAGTCAGCCTTGAAGAGATCTTTTAAAGTGTCTACTTCATAGTTTTGTGTCATCTCTCTCAACAGTCTACCTCTTACTTGGTCTTATGGCCATGCTGCTTGTCCTTCAGACCTTCCACAAGGCCGCGGATCTCCATGGACTCACTGACCTCTTCTACCTCCCCCACCTCCATGACCAGGAAGACCAGGAGCCCATTCTGGACACCCCAGACTCTACCACTGTCAAGGATCCTGAGCCCAAGAGACCATTCAATACAACTCAAGCCGGTTACGCATCCATCAATCGATAACCTAAACAGACAAAAGCTGTGGGGCCAAATAAACTTTATAAAGGGCAGTATACTGTTATAGTGCATTCAAATGTCCAATATGATATTCAGCTGTCATCTAAACTATATAACCTGATGGACCTCATGCCATTGTGCTATCCTGTTTTAGGTTCTGTAGCCCATATGAATGGGTTTTGGTGCCAGTTCCACTTTGAACTGATGTAACATTATCACAGAAATGTGATCTATTTTTTTATATATCCAATATTCACTTTTTTATTAACCATAAATGAATGCATATGATTGGTATCACCTGTTGTGAAAAATGCACACTCTTATTTTTGTTTTTCAAATAAAGCAGAACTCTAGCTTTACATAACAGGATAAACAAATGAATAGTCCATAAAAAAATAAAAGCAGCTTTTGCTGCAATATTCACATCCAAGCCATAGAGTTCCCTGAAGTACTTTTTCTGCCTCTAGATGTATGTTCAGTCTGATGGCCAACATCATTCAACCACTTTTTGTGAGCCCAGGTTATCCTGGACCTTCCCCAGCCAGTGAGAGTGAAAGCAGAAGCAGCACAGTGATGAGCTCACCTCTCTGTCATTCTGCTTTCCCCTCCTATCTGAATGCTCCTTGCTAGCACATAAACTGATTGGATCCCTGTGCTGCTTCTTTCTGTAGGGAGACTTCAAGAGGCTGAGACATGGTCAAATTCAGGCACTGCTTGCATTGTAAAAAAAAAAAAAAAAGATGCACTAACGATTACAGAGCTACATTCATTTGTCTTTTATATCTGGAGTTCAGCTTTAAGGTGATTGAAATTAGCATAATAATCTAAACCTTTATATTTCACATTATTTTATTCACTGTTATAGTTTTTGTAGTTTTTGTTTTTGACCCAAAAAAAGACTCCTATTTTTTTAAATTTGAATTTTCTTATTATTTAACTATCTGCACCTTCCAATGTAAGCCTCGCATTGCTCAAGATTACTTTTTATAGTCAAACACCCGTGTTGTGTATGTATTCTAGTTCAAACCTGTGCTGAGGGAATATCTCATACCTAAAACCACACAGGTACCTAATACATACATGTATGTGATGCCTTTGTATACCTTCTTGAATGTTTCTACAGGCCGATTCAGCAGGAACCAGACAAAATCCAAACCAGTGGCAAGGGTTATAGAATTAATTGCCAGGACAAGGTCATCCAGTGCCAAGGGCTAAGATACCAAACAAGGCCCCCCCACGCGTCATGATGTGCAAGTTT